CTATCCTTTCCTGTCCTACCCTAGTCTGTCCTGTCCTGATCCATCCTTTCCTACCCATCCTATTCTGCCCTGTCCTGTCTTTTCCTGCCCTATCCTATTCTGACCTGTCCCTTCCTTTCCTGTCCTATCCTATTCTGCCCTGTCCTGTCTTTTCCTGTCCTATTCTATTCTGACCTGTCCCATCCTTTCCTGTCCTATCCTATTCTGTCATGTCCCATCCTTTCCTGTCCTATCCTATTCTGTCATGTCCCATCCTTTCCTGTCCTATCCTATTCTGTCATGTCCCATCCTTTCCTGTCCTATCCTATTCTGTCATGTCCCATCCTTTCCTGTCCTATCCTATTCTGTCATGTCCCATCCTTTCCTGTCCTATCCTATTCTGTCCTGTCCTATACTTTCCTGTCCTATCCTATTCTGTCCTGTCCTATACTTTCCTGTCCTATCCTATGCAGTCCTGTCCCATCCTTTCCTGTCCTGTCCCATCCTTTCCTGTCCTATCCTATTCTGTCCTGTCCCATCCTTTCCTGTCCTGTCCCATCCTTTCCTGTCCTATCCTAGTCTGTCCTGTCCCATCCTTTCCTGCCCTGTCCCATCCTTTCCTGTCCTATCCTATTCTATCTGATCCCATCCTTTCCTGTCCTATCCTATTCCGTCCTGTCCTACCCCATCATATCCTATTCTGTGTTGTCCTATCAAGTCCTTTTCTGCCCTGCTTATCCTACTCAGCTTTATCCTGTCCTATTGTGTCACATCTTACATATTCCCCTTTTGTATTCTGTCCTGCCCTATCCTGTCGTATACTATTCTGTTATGTCCTCTCCTGTCCAGTTCTGGCTTATCCTATCCTGTCCTGTCATTTCCTATCTTGCACTGTACCTTCCTACTCTGTTATAACTTGCTTTGTCCTATCCTCACCTGTTCAGTCCTTTCCTATGTTATCCCGGTCTATCCTGTTCAATCCTACCAAGTCCTTTCTTGTCTTATCCCGTGTATGACCTATCCTATCATATCCTATTTCCTATTCAGTCTCATCTTTTCCTGTTCAGTCACATTCTGTACCTAATTACACGGCTATCTGTAGACATAGGAGAAATATTAGTTAGCCACAAATGATTAATTTATCAAACAACGTTTATTCAGATGCCAGCACCATGAGCATACAAGACAACATCTGCCACCCAACTGTCATCCAGCAGCACTGCACACAACTGCCAGGAACAGATTTCCTTTCTACAACACATTCAAGGGAAAGTAAATTGTATTTTAATTTTAGTTAGCTCAAATTTAAAATCATCATTGCAGTGTTTGCCTAAAAGTGTATGTCCAGGCATTACCCAAATATATACCCAAATATATACCCATATCTACACTTCTCTCTGTAGATCACGTATCAGCATTATTTTTTTTTCTTTTAACTTGCTCCTGTAGTGATAAACAGCTTTTATTACTCCCAGGGGCAGCTGCTGGGAGGTCAGTTTCTATTGACATAGACACCCCAGAACTACATTTCCCAAGAGCCCGCTTGCATGCAGTGTGTGGGCAGGCTCCCGGGAGTCAGGGCAGCAGGAGCCTCTTTTATTCATTTTCCCTTTTTATTCCTGTTCTAGTGAAAACTCATGTTTTTGGATTCTCTTTACTTTCAGTGGTCATCAGAGCAAATAGGTAGAGCATCACGTAGCAGTAACTCGGACAGCAATAAAAGCCCAACAGATTTCAACCCCTCTTCACTGTATCCAAAATAGGGAAAAAAAAGTTTGGCCTTAGATACACTGTAACCTGTTCTCTATGACCGCTCCAAGTCTTTCTGTTTCTGGGCTGGTGCAGACCTGGGCGATCCCGGGGCAGTTGCACACAGCGGTTGCCACACGACCCAAAAGATTTGAACAGGGTTACATTCGCGCAGCAATCGCAGAAAACACGAGTTTTAGCCGGTTGCACGGGCGGAATCGTGGCAGGAAACCACACGATCCGCCCAGTGCGATTGGGGAACCATTAGCACTTTCAGCAGTGGTGGGCGATTCCATGACCGTGCTGCCTTTCGGGTGGTCTCTTGCACAATTGCCGTGCGGTCACAGATCGCCATAGTGTGAACCTAGCCTCAGTGTAAGCTGTGATAGATGCAAGCAGTGGAGGAACCAGCTCAGCACCTAGAGACCAGCACGGGCAAAGTGTCATTGATTTGCTTGGTTTTGGTGCTGTTCGTAGCGGAAATTTTCTGCACTTTCTCCCAAATCAGCCAATCACATTATTTGCTTTTTGTAATCTAATCTACATTAGAAGTTTATATTGCAGGAGCCTCAAATACTCTCCAACCCTGGTCACAATGGTTGAGTTCTTGCAATGAGCATTCCTATGCCACACACATACCAATAATCAATTGCTTGCTCATATCCAGCATTCATCTAATTTTATACTACATATGTGCGGGATTGCTCAGCTAAAGCCAGTGCCAACATCCAAATTTATCGCATTACAAAACTGTGCGAATTACCAGGACTTTAAAAGTACCGTAAGAGTCACATGACCATATAAGCTCTTAAAAGTACATCAATATTTATTACTGTATCAATAGAAAAGAATTGTAAAATCAGTAGACATAATGGTCATGTAGTGTGTATAGTCCGGCATTTCTCATCCTTTTTTCAGTCACGGCATCCTTTATATGTATATAAAATCTCGAGGCACCCCAGTCTAAAATGTAAAAAACATAAATGTAAAAAAAAATGTGTGGCCCCACCAAAGTCCATACTAGCCCGCTATTCCAGATAGGAGTCTGGTATGGATTTCATGCAAAAACACCCAATAAATGTTGTTCCCCCTTCACATCAGAGCCTCTCTTTACATTAGAAGTTGCGCCTCATTCATATCAGAATCGCCTTTGCATTAAAGCCCCCACTTTTTAAATCAAAGTTCCCCTTTACATCAGAGACCCTCTTACATCAGAGCTACCCTTCACATCAATACCCCCTTTACATCAGAGACCCTCTTTCATATCAGAATCCCCCTTTGCATTAGAGCCCCCCTTTTAAAACAGAGTTTCCCTTTACATCAAATACCCACTTACATCAGAACTCCCCTTTACATCAGAGCTCCCCTTTACATTAGAGCCACCCTCTTACATCAGAGGTTTGGATACACGTCTTCTGCAGAAAATGTGAAAGCTGCACAGCCGCGCCAAGGCACCTCTTATAGTGTGGTCCTAACTCTAAACTATCAGAGCATCCATCTTGGAGCACATGGGGCAGAAGATTCACATCCCCCTTCACATCAGACACCTGCCTGCACCATGGAAAGGCATGATGCAGTGCAAAAATTTTGAGACACCCCTGAGGAAGGAAGAAGGCACCCCATGTAGTCATGGCACCTTGGATTAAAAAAAAGGCTGTTCTTGTATCTCTAATAGTACACCCATCCCTCTCATCATCACAATTATATACATAATTGTGATGATGAGAGAGATACCGTGTTTCCCCAAAAATAAGACACTGTCTTATATTTTTTTTGGCACAAAAAACACCTCTAGGTCTTATTTTCGGGGTAGGTCTTATTTTGTTTTTTATTTTAATATACAACAATCCACACTTATTCGTGTACAGTCTACATGTATTCATGTACAAAAATATGGAGATCAGGGGTGCCATACCTTTCCAAGAGCAATATGGTAACCAATCGCTGGCCAGAATGAGCGAAGCACACTTTTACTATGGATTCCTCACAGGCGGAGTGCATTTGGTATCACTCCGCCTGTGACAGGAGCCTGCGCTATAGAGGAGGCATCGGCTTATGCGGCTCTGCTCCCTCCACTGCCGCCTCGCTTCCTCTAGCGCTGACTTCATTGGCACCGCTGATTCTCTCCAGTGGCTCTTCAAGTACCTCCTTAATGCCACCACCGGCCCTGGGAATGGTTACAACTAGGTCCTATTTTCGGGGTAGGTCTTATTTTTGGGGAAACAGGGTAGAGAGAAGAGCAGTGGGGGCACAAGAGGGAAAAGAGCAAGGGGGAGAAAGAGGTATGAGGGTAAGGGGAAGAAAGAGGTATGGGGTTAAGGGGGAGAGGAGGGAGAAAAAGAAGAATGGGGGTAAGGGGGAGAGGAGGGAGAGAAAGAGGTATGGGGATGAGGGGGAGAAAAAGGTATGGGGGGAAAGGGGTGAGGAGGGAGAGAAAGGGGTATGTGGTAAGGGAGAGAAAGAGGTATAGGGGTAAGGGCTAGAGGAGGAAGAGAACTAGGTATGGGGGAGAAGGAGGGAGAGAAAGAGGAATGGGGGTAAGGTGGGGGTAAAGGGGAGAAAGAGGTATGGGGGTAAAGGGGAGAAAGAGGTATGGGGGTAAAGGGGAGAAAGAGGTATGGGGGTAAGGAGGAGAGGAGGGACAGAAAAAGGCATGGGGTAAGGGCGAGAGGAGGGAGAGAAACATGTATGGGGATAAGGGGATGAGGAGGGAAAAAGAGAGACATGGGGGAAGAGGGTGAAAAAAGAGTGGTGTTCACTTTAGTGGAGCCAGACCCCTGACATATGTATTATCATTGGTTGCTGTGGGCTACTGCACTTTGCACATCAGAACCGCCTTCTGAGCTACCTAACTATATTATCCTGTGCGTGTGTATGGTGGGAAAATACATGTTTATTCATGAGTAAAACCTCTGTGTACGTGAGAGCGCCTTCTACATATATGTGTGAGAGGGAATGTTTATGCTTGTGTATGGTGAACATATATACAGTGTGCAATAGGGAATGTTTATCACTGTGCAGGCTGTGTATGCTTGTAGCTGTGTAGTTGGGGGAAGAAATATTTCTGTTTGTGTGCTGTCCGAGTCTGGCGTGTATCTATTGTGTATGTATGTGAGGGGGAATATTTATGTTTGTGTATGAGAGTATATGTGTGTGTGTAGGGGGTGATGCAGGGAGAGTAGTAGGCAGGGGGGGAGTCGGGGAATAGACGGCATGGAATAGGAGAGAGAGGGAGGGCTGTAGTGGGAAGAACAGAGGGAAGGAGACAGGGAGAGAGAAGGAGGGAATTGGAGGCTGCAGCACACTCACACACACACACCTGCAGCATTCAGAAGCATCCTCATCCCAGGCTGCAGCTGGATCAGGAGCTATCAGTCCAAAGGGAGGGGGGAAGAAAAGAAAAACTGTAAGCCAAAAAATCCAATCTCGGGAGCAGGGACCCTACTACTACCATGCCGGAGAAGACCCTGGTGCTGGAGAGCCCCCCCTGCCACTGAGGAACAGCTGTCCATCCCCGGGGGGCAATAAACTTCCTGTACAACACCCCACCAGGCTGCACCTAAAGGGTAAGCCGTGCATGCCTCTTTACTTCTCTACTGCTAAGCTCCATTAGCTATACATTATACCATTTCTGGAAAGACCCTCCAGGTACACATTACCCCTTTAGTGGGGAGCATTTGACCCCTTCGCTGAGCGAAATGCATTGTTTTCCCCCTTACGTAAGCTGCCCCATTTGCATCAGCGCACCGAACGCCCACAGGTGCCCTGCAATTGACCCTAATCGACTGGCCCGTGGTCGTGTTCCCCTGTTGCCTCTGCAGCATTGGGGGCTCAGTGTATCGTGTGGCTCTTTCCTTGTTTCCCCGCAGCTGGCGAATGCAGCAAGCTGCAGAAATTACAGTTCAATCGCTATATGTCCATTTTTTTTTATGTATGTCTGTGAACAAAGCCTCCCAGTGCGATGGAGAGGACCAAAATGACTTTGGACGGGTCATCAGGCGTGAAGAAATGCTAATCGGACGGGGCTGCCCGGGCGACATTTCTGTAATTTGGCATTTCGGTTGTGAAATTTACCTGGACTGCGGAGGGTTGTTTCCACAAGTGATAACATTAGCGGTGGAGAGATAGCCGTCTCGAGTGCTGGACTGTCATGCATAAGTTGTTCCCTCGCCTTCTTCTCCCGTCATCTCCAAGATAATAACCTATTTAGTAAAAGAGGAAAAAAAAAAATGTGTAATTTATAGAAATTATGATCTGGGCTCATCCTAATTAATATTAATACTATCATACATTACCCAGGAACCCTCGCATGATATGTAATGTTATCTAATCATTTGGTTTTCCTTGGGCTAGGAATTGCTACTTCAGATAGTGAAAGCTTACATTGTGACCTTATGAAGATTTGTGAGTTTTGGGTTAAAATTCAGATTGATATTTTACTGATCAGCTTGGAGGAGGTTGTCTTGGTAAGGACATAATTTTGGAATGCATTGCCGGCTAATTTAGGATTAGCCCAGATCATGATTTCTATAAATGGCAATTTTTTTTCTCTTTTACTAAAATAGGTGATTATCTTGGTGTGAATGGAACATATATTGACAGTGATTAGGTTATTGATACTAAATTGTGTGCTGTTACATCATAATGTCGTGTACATTATACACGGTTGTGCCTATATGCATTGGATAGATAGATAGATAGATAGATAGATAGATAGATAGATAGATAGATAGATAGAGAGAGAGAGAGAGAGAGAGACAGACAGACAGACAGACAGACAGACAGACAGATAGAATATCAAGCATCCTAAGATTGTCCGATTTGGCCACTCACAACAGCTGGATATCATATGAGAAATATTCCTGGGTACTGATCTGGTTGAAAATTTTTGACCTCTTCCCTGTTGTTCTCCAGGCTCTGGTTATAGTTAGGTCTGGCGCCAGATTTTACAACCTACAATTCCAATAGGTGCTGAAGTTTTGGGGTAAAAGATCTGAGTATGGCTTATTCTAGAAAGATTTGCATGGCAACCATACTGACAGTTCATCCTAAATTCATTCTCCATGGCTGCTTCTTTGAAAGTACCATTTGTTCCACAGATCGAAACTTTCCAGCATTCTAGAAGCTTTTATCTTAGGCAGATGCCGATGTTTTTTTTCATTATGCTCATTGAGCTCAGTCCTTAAACTGTTTGCTACCTTTTGTCACAGGTGAGGATTGAATCTGCTTGGGTGTTTGTAAGTTTGCAGAGCGCATGAGCAGTTTTAAAATTTAAGGAAAATTAGGAATGTAGCAGCTGAACAAATTTTACTTTTGTGATTAGGTATTAGAACATATGATATAATCATGGCCATACATCCAGGCCCATAGCCACAGATGACTTTGTGGGCTTGCTGAGGGTGGTTCTGTGTCACATTCCTAGTTCCTCACTTGGTGCCAGCCCCTTGTATCACATAATGTCACTGTGCTGAGTTTCCCCTAAGTGGCCGAGCAGCACCGTTAGGGTGGTTTATCAATATTGGGTGATCCGATCTGTATCCATGGCCATAGACAGGAAGATGTCTCACCAAGAATGATGAGCGCCGAAACTTTGACCACAAACACAACAGGACCTGCTGCATTGTTGACTTGGCCAATACATGCATGAGGCTTAAGGACTTTCTTCCTGTGTCTCAATGAGAACAGTCAAAGATAGGTCATATGCTTGGAAACTATCAAACAGGATATCACCCCCCAAATGATGCCCTACATCACCCAATCGTGCATTGTCACATAGTGCCATTCTGTCAATACATGGACTTGTGCCCTGTATAACCAAATGTACAGACCTATCTATACACACGCCACCAGATTTATACACTCAAGCCATTTGAATGCCTGGGAGCAACAGAAGCCATCTTTGGAATTGGCCACACACATAGGTGCAGAGGCGCACATTGTCAGATCTATCCATTCAAGCCATTTGGATGCGTGGGGGGAATAGAAGCCATCTTTACAATGACCACACCAATAGGTGCAGAGACACATATGGTCAGATCTTTCCAACTAGCCATATAGATTTTCTGGAATAATAGAAGCCATTTTTATAATGACCACACCAATAGGTGTAGAGACACACATGGTCAGATCTATCCAATTTAGCCATTTGAATCCAAATGAATAATAGAAGCCAACTTTCATTATGACCAACCCAATAGGTGTAGAGACACACATAGTCAGATTTATCTAATCTAGCCATTTGGATGCCTGGGAATAAAAGAAGCCAAGTTTATAATGACCACACCAATAGATGCAGAGACACACATGGTCAGATTTATCCAATCTAGCTATTTGGAAGCCTGGGGGCAATAGAAGCCATTCTTTATATTGACCACACTAATAGGTGTAGAGACACGCATGGTCAGATCTATCCAATTTACCCATTTGGATGTCTGGGAGCAATAGAAGCCATTCTTTATAATGACCACACCAATAGATGTAGAGACACGCATGGTCAGATCTATCCAATCTATCCATTTGGATGCCTGGGAGCAATAGAAGCCATTCTTTATAATGACCACACCAATAGATGTAGAGACACGCATGGTCAGATCTATCCAATCTATCCATTTGGATGCCTGGGAGCAATAGAAGCCATCTTTATAATGACCACACCAATTGGTGCAGATTATATGACGTCATTTCCCACCACTCCTGCCCTTTACTCATGGATCATTAGAGAAAGGGACTTTCAAGTGTCCAACAGATATTCATGTTGGGTTAACAAAATAGTCCTCCATGTATGGGCAGCTTATATATAGTCATGTTAGACAGACAGAGCATTTGTCAAGGTCTGCTGAGCTCCTCTGTGTACAGGAAAATAACGCTGACTTGATTGCAAGCTCTTAATACAAGCTTCCTATCTCCTCGCTGATGGCAATGACGGCTTGCATCGGACACATTTATTTATTTTCAGCCGTCACCAGGCACGGGGCATGTCAGCTGCAGCTCTGAACAAACATTCTGTGCCGACGATTTAGAGGTCAATGGCTGGGTAACGATTGCAGTCTTGCGTTGACGCTCTGAGCCCGTTACACTTCAGAAAAAATGAACTAGTAAGCGGTGGAAGCTGAATTGTAAAATGCTAATGGTGTTTTAATTGCCTCCGATGCTGCGGAATATTCTGAGAAGGAACAACTGTAGTTTCACGCGCGGCAGGAGGGACACAGCCAAGCGTTAGGTGACTCTCCAAGGTGAAAGCAGACGCGTAAAGGCTTAGCGGCTGTGCAGTTGGAAAACGCACGCCTGCGGACGGAATTAAGAGGCTCGTGTACACAGGTAGAGCTTTAGAAGAAAGCGGGACGGCCGGCTCTTCCCCGGTTATTTTATGGATTCATTGCTTCTCAGCTCATTGTACATGTCACAGCCTAAGCAGCAAATGGTACATAGACTCTATAGGAAAAAAAGATACAAAATAATCATAAATAAATATGTAACTAATAGAAAAAAAGATACAAAAATCAAAAATATTATGCAAAGCTCAGAGATACATCGCAACCAATTAAATTTGCAGCCAGATCAGAGTGGAGCCAAAGTTTTGTTTTTTTTAAAGC